TAAATTGTCCCTTTTGCTCTTTTTGAGTCCTCAGCTCTGGTCCCTCAGACACTTTTAGTTCAAATGGTTGACATAGAAGGAAAGGGCAGAGAGTAAGGATACAAGTCATCAGTGAAATGTGGAGGGTGGGGAGTAGAAGAGATGACCAGAATGGTCATCATAGCTACTGTTGAGGATTGTAGAATGTCCCAAACTATGATCCTCATGTCATAGCTCCAGTTGCCAAATGCATTTTAAAAGTCCTGATCTTCTAAAGCACATAGACAGAAACACAAAGATGCACAGGTACACACAAAGAAACATGCAAAACTCACAAAAGGATACGCAGACACACATATTCCCGGGTACCCCTTTCCTCTGTGGTGCTTGCCTCTGGCCATGGGGATGACGTGGAGGTAGGCTCCTGCACACCCTGCTCAGTGGAAGAGTGCAAGTCTATCGGGGTTTCCTGGTTCAGCCCCAGCCTGGCTCACGCAGAGACCAATCTATTCCACAATCACTTAAACCCTTTCCGTATCCAGGCCTAGTTATCCTAAGTACCAGAGTCTGTCCCCAGAAGACAGTGCGGGCCACAGAGCTTGCTTGTCCAGTAAATTGCCTCTGTGGTGACCTGTGCCCTGAACCTGGGAGAGGTTGGGGCTTCTTAGGAGTAAATTCCCTTTCCTTACAATCAGCTCTGTTTCTTCTGCATCTTGAGGGGATGGCCTGTCTCCATCCACTCCCAGAAGGGAGTTTTATCTAGCGGTGTGCTTGAGAAAATGGGAGGAGAGCTCTAACAAGAATCCCCCATCTAGGGCTTCCAAGTGCCTCCTCATCCTGCCCTCCTCACCCCACCTCAGGGACCTGGGCAACAGAAACTTAGGGATGCCCTGCCAGGGGCAATTCAGGCCCTGCCAGCCCCCTGGGGGATGTGCCACAGACCAGATACAGTCCAGAACAGCCTGGATTTTCAAAAAAGAGGCAAATGCGACACTGATGAAAATAACCTTGCTCAGCAATTGAGAGAACTCCAAGACTGTGTTGGAAAAATAATTGGATTAAGACAGGAAAGATCTCTGGAATAGGCAAGGACTGTGAAGGCACCATGTGCAGTAGAAAAGAGTGTAGGTTGGAGTCAAGTCTGGCTGGAGGGCTTTGGTAAGTCACTTAAGCCCTGTGTGCTTAGGTTTCCAACTGCAAAATGGCAGGGTAATAAGGCCCACTGATGGGCTGTTGTGGGAATTAAAGGATAGATAGATAGGAGTACTAGTATAGGTAGATAGATAGACACGTATGTGTACATTCACATTCTCTCTGCATAAGGCATTTCACTAAACCAATCCAGTGACTACCAAATGCTATTGGGGCATCAGAAACACTTGGAGGGGTGGTTAAAACACGGCTTGCCGGGCCTCACTTCCAGAGTCTGTGCTTCAGTCGGTAAGGCATGAAGCATTTGCATTCCTAAAGAGGCTCTAGTGGTACTGGTGCTGCTGGTCCAGGTACCACACTTTGGGAATCAGTGCATTAGGTTGCACACCGAGAGGGAACAAGGGTTATATCTGTCCCTTTTACCAGGGCCTTCCCAGCTGGTAAGCAATGAATGTTTGTCAATAAACAGATGAAGGAATGGTTTTCACACAAAAGGCCTTGGTTTTCCTTCACACAGTTTTTCCAGGTGGTCTCTAGAGTCTCCACAACTGACACTGCAGATCTAGATCTTTCAGGCAAGGGAACGGCGTACTCAGAGCCAGGCCCTGGATCTGTGGTTCCCACCTATGGCTCTATAGTTGTGGGGTCTTCTGGCCATGACCTGTGAGCAGAGGGCACTGAATCAGATCTGGGGGGGGGGGGGGCCAAGCC